AGTCATACTCTTCGTGTCCAAAGAAGGGCTCTAAAGTTGGCTAAGTTGAGAGCTGTGTTCTCTCATATTCAGTTCAGTCTCTCAGTTGTGTCCGACTCTTTGCAACCCCATGGACTGCAGCATGCCAGGCCTCCCTGTCCATCACCAGCTCCTGGAGTTTACTCAAACTCATGTCCATTAAGTTGGTGATGCCATCCAACCAAATCATCCTCTGTCATCCCTTCTTCTTCTGCCTTCAATCTTTCCCAGCATCAGGGTTTTTCCAATGAGTCAGTTCTTCGCATCAGGTGGCCAAAGTACTGAAGTTTCAGCTTAGGCATCAGTCCTTCCAATGAATATTCATGACTGATTTCCTTTAGGATGGACTGCTTGGATCTTTGTTGCAGTCCAAGGGACTCTCAAGAGTCTCCTCCAATACCACGGTTCAAAAGCATCAATTCTTCAGCGCTCAGCTTTCTTTATAGTCCAACTCTCACATCCATACATGACTACTGGAAAAACCATAGCTTTGACTGTACAGACCTTTGTTAATCTCTCAGCTTGAGTAGGGACAATTCACACAACTTTCTATGGATGTGACCAGAGACACACAGATGGGTACTTCAGCGGATGCAATACAGATGACCACTGAAAACTGACATTCACTGGGTCTTGGTGCTAGAAAACTCCATAGAGACTGGGCTTATTTAAACCCATCTTAAGTTTCTGCCATCTGGCAGAATAGGGGATTGGGGAAAATTGGGTTGCATAAAAGTGACTTTCTTGCACCATGAACATTATGGACTAGGATCTAGATCTGTAAAAGTACAGGCAATTCTTTTGACAAGTTTAGTTGAAGTGCAGGAGCAGATCGAGAAACGGGATGGATAAACTGGAGAGGTTTTGTTTTTTCCTTTTAAGTGAGAATGCTTAAGAACTTATGGGAAGGATTTGATTCAGCAGGAGAGGCTAAGGATACCACAAAAAGGAGCCGATTGACAGCATGAGGTTCCTGAGGCTGGTGAGGAGACCAGACTATTTACTATTAGAAAGACAGAACTGAGAACTGGTGTCAATTCAGTTTAGTGTGTTTCCTTTGATGGCTAAAATATGAAGGTACCTGTATCTGATGGCTTCTATTTTTTTCAAGAAGTAGGAGCAAAACTGATCTTCCAAAAAGAAAGGACTGGTTAAAAGTTTGAGGAGAGAAAGTTTGAAGGGTCACTAAAGTGGGCAGAAAGAGCGAGCTGATGAGAAGAAATTCAGATTGTTGGGTAGGGTAGAAGGGTCAGACAAGACTATGGGTTCTAGGTGCAGAGGGAACTAACTGATCTGACTTAATTTTCTCCAGCTGTGCTCAGTTACCCTGGAGTAGGAGTGGAGAAGGCCATTGATTGGAATCATCCAGGACTGGAGTTTATATGAGAAAATAACTGCTCAAAATCTCCCCATATATTTTTAAAACACACATCTTATATAGCTGTTCCCCAAATTAAACAAGTACTTTCTTTTAAATTTTATGATATCTATTTCCCATTACTTTGATAATTGCTTTTATCTGTACTGTGCTAAGTCTCTTCAGTTGTGTACAATTCTTTGCAACCCTCTGAACTGTAGCCCACCAGGTTCCTGGGTCCATGGAAGTCTCTAGGCAAGACTACTGGAGTGGGTTGCCATGCTCTCCTCCAGGGGACTTCCCCAACTCAGGGATCGAACCCTAGTCTCTTATGTCTCCTGCACTGACAGGCAGATTCTTTACCACTAGCGCCACCTGGGAAGTCCTCTTTTTATCTTCGTGGGCTCTTTTCCAGGTTTCCCATTATCTTTTACAAATTAGAGAAGCAGTACTGTTTAGTGGTTAAGATGAGACTTCTGGCATCTGTCTGCTAGGGGCAAATCTAGCAGTTACTTCCTGTGTGATCTTAGACAAAGCCCGTGTGTGCTTCAGTATTTTCATCTGTAAAATGGGTTGTGTGATAATAACGCCCCTCCCCCGCTTAAATGGATGTTTTGAGGATTAAATGAGCTAATGCATGTACTATGCTACGTATGACTTGTTATTGCAATTTAAATGAAATACTTGAGCTGGGAGCAGAATAAGATATGAAGAATTATATTCTGGCTTTATGTCTAAGCAATATTTAATACATGCCAATATTGCAAAGCTTCTCTTTCTCCTTTTTCCACAGAGTCATGAGGAAAGGTCTAAGTCTTAAATATTCAGGTCATTCTTTCACCTCTTTTATTCAAGGCACTAATTTTTGTCTCCAAGTATTTACGACTGGACCAGATGGCTCTTGGACTTTATCTACATATCTTTTGCTTCCAAATCCATCTCCTCTCTTTGATAACCATTTCTGAAAATGCTGCACCCTTTCTTCCTCACAGATAAACTAAAGAGTACTGATTATGGTCAATTTTTATACAGCACAAAGTCCTGAATTAGGCTGTATGCCCTCTTAAGGCAGGTAACGTGATTTCTACCCTTTAGTATCCTCAGCACTCCAGGAAGTTGTTCCACATGACATACAAAATAAAACCAGTAGATGGTGGTGATGATCATGGTGTTGGTGATGATGACAGTACCACAACTTCTCTTCCTCAGTGGCTCTTTTCAGGGATCTTTGTGGGGGCAATAGAGAAAAGAGAAGGGAATATGGAGCTTTGAGGTTCAACTCCTAGTTCCATCACTGACCAGCTGAATAACCTCAAATTTAAAAACAAACATAACACTGTAAATTGTTCAGTAACATATTAGCAATTTTCTCTCCCTCTCCATTCTTACCCACCATTCCTCTTAGAACCACTAACAGAACAATCTCCTTCCCAAGCCATCCCTTTCCTAAAACTTCCTACGTGTGCCTACCAAGAGTTAGGGTGGGAATTCCTTCTCTGCTTACAGTCCTTCATGCCACCACCCTAGAGTGCCGGCTCATGGATTCCCCCCTCTCACTCATGAAGCAGGTTTATCTCATGTTATGTTTATTTTTAAATGCCTTCCTTCAATTCTTCTCCTTCTCCTTATTGCAACATGTTTGCTCCTTCCCCTAAGGTTTCTCTTTTTCCACCTCTATTCATAGTTGTTGAATTCCAATTTTGTAACTGGAAGACTTTATCTTTTTCCTCTAAATACCAGACATGACTTCCATTTTCTCACAGTGTGAAAAATACATGACTGTTTTCTTTTTCTGCCTTTAACAGGATATACCTGTTAAACTTGAGTTCAGCTGCACTGACTTATAGTAAGTGCTAAAGAGGAGAGATGATCTCATTTACTCTGTACTACACTTAGTGTAGGAAGATATATACAGATAATTCATAAACTTCTGGTTGTGTTATGCCTTGAGAAAGGGAAAAACATTAAAACATCTTTAGTTCTGACAAGAATCATATATTTCCATCTTTGATTACAAAATAATGACGTATACCCATCTGTCACACACACAAAATTAAATACTAACAAAGATGTTTAAATACAAGGAAAAAAAGATGGCCATTTCACATTAAAATCTTTAGAGGAGAGCTGATGTTTCATATCTAGTTTAAAGTACTTATTCAATTAAGGCTGTGAAACACTGAAGAAAAGAAGTAAGATGGAAGAAACGGTGAAAACACAAAAAGCATCTTTCAAAATTCTGAGCAAATGATTCTATGTACAGTGGCATTTAATAGGAGAAATTTCACCCATACAAATTCTGAATCGTGCTTTGAATTTTTTTAAAAAAGCATCTTTGTTTTGCACCTTTCTGAAGGTATTTCCAGTTTGATTAAAGTACCTCTCTGACTTATGCCTAAGTTATGAATACTCTATTACATATAATAATCTCACAGCCATTTTCCTTTCAAATAAAGATCACATTATTTTAGATGTCATGTCTATAAAGTAACTTTTTTAAAAAACAAACATACCCAAACTTCCAAATGTAGGAGAACACGATCTTCTTGGAGAGCCTTATGCTCATTCCAAGAATGCATCCACTTCTCAATATATTTTTTGAATTCCTCTTTTGAATCATTTTTGATTAGTTGAAAGCTATGTAGGATAGCCAAGTCGATTACTTCATAGAGTTCTCCTATTATGTATATATGCGTTATTCACATGATTCAATCAACTTGATTTCAAATTACATTTTTGGCTGCATCCAAAAATCAAATTTACTTCAAATGCAAAGACTTTCTACCATGAAAATCATTTAAGAATGTGAAAGATTTCTGAGAGTGGCACTTCTAAATCATTAGAAACAAAAGTAGCAGGTTAGAGTAAGGTGAAAGTCTCAAAACTTCCAAGGCAAATATTTGGGGGGGGGGGTGGTTGATGTGGCACACTAATTTCTAAATATAATCTCAAAATACTTTAAAAATTATCCACATTTATGTTCACACTTCTGTTCGCCCCTCAAAGGGTTGAATTTTATAGTAATAAACCACCTTCAAAATCCTAAAATGGTTTTAAACGGGATATGAATTTAAAATTTCCCACAAAGATTATGGGGTGGGAGTGGGAAGGAAATGCACCAAAGTTGTAAAGCCAGATAAACATTTCTACTCCTAAGCACCCTAGGCATGTGTCAGAGGTGCAGGTTCTAGAAATCTGAAGTTCCCTTGAATGCTGGTGATTTAGAGGGGACTTCAAGCAGTTCTTAAGGTCTTCATTCTTTCCTGGAACTCTGTATATGAACAAATATCAGTCGCATTCAATGAGTTTTTTGGTTTGTTTCACAGTGTGATTCCTGTAATATGAGCTTTTCAGTAATTGTGAATTTTATTTTTGTCATTTTGGGCACTGACAGTTCACAATGCTTGGTTGTGTGGTGTAAGATCGTTTTAATTTTTGCATTTTACATTCCTTTTGGCACTTCTGAAGGAAAGGACATTGTCTTGTTATGTTGTTTGGAGGGAAGGGGTAAGCCTTCCCCTGTCTCTTTTTTAAACGCTTGGCTTTATGAAATGCACGATTCTCCCCGCTAGTTAATAGAAGTGGGTGGAAATCTGCCTTCATAAGTTGTGCATCCCAGCCCTCCTTAGAGGCTGGTATCCCCGGCTCCAGATTGTTTAGCCGCTGCTGTCACAGGATCTTGTGGTCCCTCCCGACAGAAAAGCACAACTGGATTTTTGCGAGCCCACATGGCCATATCCCCTGCCATCCCGCTGGTTGGGTTGGAAGAGGATATCGTGCTGCAGGCCCCCAGGCGGTTGGTATAGCGGTTTCGTAGGGGATTGAGGCTTCCAGCCTGCAGAGTCAGGCCCTGGTTGGGCAGGAGAGCGTCCACGTTCCTAGTCCTGTAACCCTCTTCCCGGTTGCGCCCTAGAAGCATGGAAATGTTGGGGTTGCGAACGGCATAGATGACAGGGTTGATGGCCCCGTTGGCCCAGGTCAGCCAGACGGCCACCACGTTGAGGAGAGAGGGAGACTGTGCGGCCTGGGCCCGCCGGGCGGCGGCCAGCAGCACCAAGAAGCAGTAGGGCCCCCAGCAGCAGATGACGGAGACGATCATGATGAGCACGGTGGTGGCCGTGCGCACGTCGCTGAAGAAGCGCAGCACGCGCGCGTAGGTGGTCAGAGGCCGCACGCGCACGTCCGACAGGCGCACGGTCTTGCAGATGTGGTAATGGCAGAAGCACATGAGTAGGAAGGGCAGCAGGTAACAGGCCACCACCAACCCCACGCTGTAGGCCGCGCCCAGCTGCGCGGGGTCCGGAGACGTCCGGTACAGGCAGCGGTGGAAGCTCTGCGCCGCCGCCGGGGCCTCCCCGGGCGCGAGGAGCAGCTCCCAGGGCATGGAGAAGCCCAGGGCCGCCAGCCAGGCGCCCGCCAGCAGCTGTAGCGCGCGGCGGCGCCCGATCTTCTCCCGCGGCGGCCGCACGATGGCGCAGTAGCGGTCCAGAGAGATGAGGGCCATGCTGAGCGTGGACACGATGCCGAAGCACGAGCTGAAGAAGCGGCTAGCCGCGCAGAAGCCGCTCCAGGGCCCCGAGGCGGCGGCGGCGGTAGGCGCCGAGCCCCCCGGCGGCGTGAAGAGGTCCAGGAAGGCGGCAGGCAGGCAGAGCAGCGCCGTGAGCAGATCTGACAGGGACAGGGACAGGATGAAGGCGTTGGTGACAGTGCGGAGCTGCCGGTGCTTCACGATGGCCCCCATCACGGCGCAGTTGCCCAGGCTAGACAGCAGGAAGATGAGCAGGAGGACCAGCGCCTGGGCCGCCACCGTCGCCCCGTGCGACAGCAGCGGCGCCGCCTCGGGGCCCAGCCGCGGCCTCCCCGCCGCCCCCGCCGCCCCCGCCGCCCCGCGCCCGCCGAGGCCGCCGCCAGCCGCGGCGCCAGTGCTGTCGGCCCCGCTCACGTCGCTCCGGTTCCCCAGCGCCGCGGCGGCCGCGGTGCTGAAGGAAAGCACGGCCGCCGCAGTCGCCGCGGAGGAGGTCCCGACAGGCGTGCCGGCCGGGGAGGGGGCGCCGGAGTGTGGGCTGCCCGATAAGGCCGTGCTCACTGGCGGGCGGACCGGCGGCGGCGGCGGCTGCTCCTCCATGGGGCCCCGCGGAGGCCGCAGGTCTGCTCATCCCGCACCAGGGGAGGAGGCCGCAAGCCCGAGGTGGCTCGGGGCCGGGCCGAGAGGCCTCTGCCGGGGGTCGCGCTCGGCCGGAGGGGTGACCGTCGCCCGAGACTCACGGAGCCTTTGACGTGCATTCCAGGCGTTGCCGAGGGAACCGCGTGTTTACGCAGGAGCGCAGGGCGGGACGTGGGCCGAGAACCCTTGGAAAAGCGTGTCCAGGACATCACCTCTCCCCGAGGTTTCGCGGCCAGGGTGGGTGGGCTTCAGAGAGTGCCAGGTGGAGCTCCTGGGGCCCACTGCCCGGCCAGATTAAAACGGGAGTGGCCCTCATATAGATGGCCAAATTCTATAGGGGTTTACTCTCACACTCTGGTTCCACATACATATTCTACAGAGGTAGGGAGGGGAGAGGGGGCTTCCTGTGGGTGCTTCTGGCATCTAGAAGTAGGAAAGGAATCTAGAACCTGAAGAGGAAAACAGTCTAAATTCGGAGATCTTAAACATGAGGGAGCAGAAAGACTTAAACCAGGTATTCTCAAACTTGAGCAGACAAGAGTCACCTAGAGCAGGGGTCTCCAACCCCCAGGCCACAGACCGGTAGGGGTCCCTGGCCTGTTCGAACCAGACTGTACAGCAGGAGGTGAAACCTAAACCATTGCCTCACCCAGCTCTGTCTGAGAAAACTGGCTTCCAGGAAACCGGTCCCTGGTGCCAAAAAAGTTGGGGACTGCTGACCTGGAAGGCTTGTTAAAACACAAGTGACTGGATCCAACTTCAGGGGTTCAGATTCAGTAGGTATGGGGTCCTGTCTGAAAATTTGCATTTCTAACAAGTTACTGGGTGTATGATATTGCTGGTCCAAGGACCAGGCTTTGAGAACCACTGATGTAGTAAGCTTATTAAAATGCAGTCACTGGCTGACTCCCAGGATTACTGAGGATGGGCCCATGTATCGAAATCCTCAATGTGATTCTGATACAGGTGCTCTGAGGAGCCAGGATACGGGTCCTGGAGAAGGGATGCCATCTTGTTTTCAAGGGCCTGGCCCTCAGGACCGCTACTGTCTCACATGTGTCAGGGAGGAAGGGAGAGTCACTGCTTCCTTGCCCTGCTGTCAGTCTTTGTCTGTTCTCTGAAAGGTGGTATGTTTTGAGTTTAAGGTGCTGGAGTTGCCACAGATGCAGCTCCAGGTATCTGGAAGGAAGATTTCATGAACAAGGGTCTGCCTGCTCAGGGAAGCTTGCATCTCAACTTTCTGGGCATGGCATCTTATGGGGGAAAGTGTAATAAACTCTTAGGTTCTCTAAAGCAGTGGTCTGCAAAGTGTGGACCCTGGACCAGTGGCATCGGCATGACCTGGGAACTTGTTAGAAATGCAGATTCTCTGGCCCTACCGCAAATCTACTGAATCTGAGACTCTGCAGATGGGAGCCCAGCCACCAGCCCTGCAAGTGATTTTGATGCAAGTTTGAGAAACACTGATCTAAAGAATGACTAGTATACTTTCAGGCCTCAGTATCAACAATATTAGTGTTTGGCCGCTCATTTGGGTGGGAAAAATATCCTACTGGAAACTTACAATATAAATAAAGTTCATTTAAGGTGGTAAAAGGGCTTCCCTGGTGGCTCCGATGGTAAAGAATCTGCCTGCAATGCAGGAGACTTGGGTTTGATCCCTGGGTTGGGAAGATCCTCTGGAGGAGGACATGGCAACCCACTCCAGTATTCTTGCCTGGAGAATCCCCACAGACAGAGAGGCCTGGTGGGCTACAGTCCATGGGATCCCAAAGAATCGGACACAACTGAGCAACTAAACACAGCACAGCAGGGTGGTAAAATAAGACTCGCTTTCTTGGTCTCAGCATTATTGACATTTGAGCCAGATAATTCTTTATTGTGGAGGCTACTCTATGCATTGTAGGATGTTTAACTGTATCCCTAGTCACTACCCATGAGATGGCAGTAGTGACAACTAAAAATGTCTTCAGACATTGCAAAATGGTGGGGAAGAGGGTGAGGGGGGGCCAACCTCAGCTGAAAACCACTGAACTAAGACAAAAATATATAATAGATTAGTTTTGTTTTTTTTTAAAAAAACCTTCTCTGTACTAGGTTTTCAGAAACAAGGATCCCAGCCCAAAGAACCTTACAGTTTTAGGCAAACACAAATATATTACAATGTCACAGATGTTTAAACATACAATGACTATAGGAAGAGTCTGGCAACTGGGAGACCAGTTAAGAAAAGGCATTATAATAGCCCAGGAGAGAAATGACAAGAGTCTGAACTAAGGATTTACAGTGAAGGAGGGGAAGAAATTTTAAGGATTAGTATCTGGATTGGGGTCTTTGGATATAAGCAATACAATGAGGTTTCTGTCTCACTTAAGCAAAAACAGAACTGGCTAGAAGGATAGGGGGAGTTCAAAAGGATAGTCTTAACAGCTAACCCCAAGAGCAAGAGAAGTCAGGGCAACTCCACAGGTAGAGATAGCAGAAAGGAACTGAGAGTGATCTCTTTAGGGATCTACAGGAATAAGTCTGCTTCAACCATTTTTCAGACCTTGTCATTTCTCGTAAGATCCCAGGTCTTGGTGGGGAGAGTCTGACTGGAGTACCCCTTGCCTGGCGGCCTCAGCAAGGCTACATGCTGGGGATGGATAGTTTCCCAAAGGAAAAGGAGTGTTGGTGATAAAAGAAGGGGAAAGGAATGGTGCTGACCAAATCCACAGACATCCACCTCAGAGCATCAGTAGATGGGTCGAAAGAGCACAAACAAGAAGCCGAGGATAGAACCCAAGTTCCTGGCTCCTATTCCCTGGAGCTCTGCACCAAGGGAATAGAGGTTCCTGCTCCAAAATGTACCACACTTGCCTGCCGGAAAGCACCAGCATCCACCATGGATTAAGTAAACTCTGTTGTTCAGTCGCTCAGTCGTGTCTGACTCTTTGTGACCCCATGGACTACAGACACCAGGCTTCCCCGTCCTTTACCATCTCCCGGAGTTTGCTCAAACTCATGTCCATTGAGTCAGTGGTCCATCCAACCATCTCATCCTCTGTCACCCCTTTCTCCTTCTGCCCATTATCAGAGTCTTTATCAATGAGTTGGCTCTTTGCATCACATGGCCAAAGTATTGGAAGTTCAGCTTTAGCATCAGTCCTTCCAGTGAATATCCAGGACAATTTCCTTTAGGATAGACTGGTTTGACCTCCTTGCTGCCCAAGGGACTCTCAAGAATCTTCTCCAGCATCACAGTTCCAAAGTATCAATTCTTTGGTGCTCAGCCTTTTTTATTGTCCAGCTCTCACATCTGTACATGATTACTGGAAAAACCATAGCTTTGACTACATGGACCTTTGTAAGCAGAGTAATGAATCTGCTTTTTAACATATAAACCTGTGGGTGACCATTAAATCTAGGTTAGATCAAGCATAGCTTCCAATGAGTAATGAAGTCAAAACCAGACTGTAATAGTTGAGTAGCAAATGGAAGATGAAAAAACATACTAATGAGAAGACAGTAAGGAATCTAGAAGCTTGACTACAAAAGGAAGGAAAAAGGGTGACAGACAGCAGGCTGAAGAGAGAAGGTGGACAAGGGGTGTATGTTTCATTTTGTTATGATGATATTTGGTAATAGCTTAGAGGAAGGAACCAGTGATGGGAAGGAGGTTGCTTAAAAAGCTTAGTGATAAGGCAGGCCCCTTAGCAAGGATGGGAAGAGAGAGAAGTGAACAGTATTAAGAAGGCAGATCAATAAGGCTTCATGACTGATTAGACACATGGAAGCAAGAGGAATAGCTGTTGATTTCCCTAGTGGTTTTGACTCTATGGAAGGCATGGTGAAATACAGAAGGAATGAATATTATTGCAAGGGTTTGGCTCTGGTTTGGATTAGAATTTAGGAAGATTTAGGCAGTATTTATTTTTCAATGTTTAGGAAACAGAATATTTTTGTTAAAGTACTATATTGTAAAACAAGTTCTGGCTGTCCTGTCTCAGCAGTGGAGGAAGTGTAGCAGGAAAATACTGGACCTGGAGTCAGCGGAGCTAGAATGACAGCCCCAAATGTGACCTTGTTGTTGCTGTTTAGTTGCTAAGTCATGCCCGACTCTCTTGCCACCCAGGCAAGAATACTGGAGTGGGTTGCCATTTCGCTCTCCAGGGGATCTTCCTGACCCAGGGATCGAACCCATGTCTCCTGCATTGGAAGGCGGGTTCTTTACCAGGGAGCCACCAGGGAAGCCCCAAATGTGACCTTAAGAGAGTAATTTAACACATCTGGCTTCCATTTCTCTCATATTAATAAATGAGATAAACATAGTGGCATACCAGGGGCGGGCAGAGGGAGTGCTAGCCAGGGTGCAGTTGATCAGATGGTGCACTGTCTGTAAAGAATTTTGAAACAAGAGTAAAACCTACTAAACGTCAGTCTGCATTTTTTTTTTTAATTAATGTGACTTGTGAAATTTAGACAGAAAACAGTGGTTCTGTTTCTGTTTTTTCAAAAGTATAACAGGTGAGGGAGGGGACATATGTATGCCTTTGGCTGATTCATATTGATGTTTGGCAGAAACCAACATTCTGTAAAGCACTTATCCTTCAATTAAAAAATAAATACTTTTAAAAAAAGGAAAAAATGTTTCTTTGGCAAAAAAAAGTGAAGAAAATCTCTTTAATCTGTAGATAATTTCTCGATCATATTTAGTGTTTTTTTGGAGGTAAATGAATTGTTTACCACAAATTTTAAGAGGTAATGAGTGGAAAACATTAGTTTTTGTGCATTTAATAAGGAAATCAAGAACACTAACTTTATAGTCTTCATTTTGGGCAGGTAATTCAATCACAGACCTAATAACGGGGTCTGTACAGACTTGCTGGATGACAGAGCCAGTTGAAATGAATTAATTACTTCACTGTCTGTATGCTAAGAAAAAAAATACTACTACTTACCTCAGAAAAAGTTTACTGAATATTAAGAGAATCACATGTTGATTAGTTTTTAGCATTTCATTTTATAATGACTGATAATGATCAAATTTTATTTTTTTGACAGACTCACAGACAATTAACTAGCAAGAATGCCAACAGTTAACATTTCTTTCATGTTTTAAATTACCTAGCATGTAGTTGGTAGAGTATGAGATTTGCCCCACTATAGAGATTCATTGATTGACTCCGCCTGTATACCTATACTTAAATAATGCAATAAACAACCCTTTTATAAGAGCCTTAATGATATATCAAAAGACTGATTCTTGGTCTTCTCTCAAGTTCATGGGGATAGGAGCTGGTCTTTCTAGCTTAGAGGACATCCCAAGAGCAGCTACAACAACTTCCACCCAAGGAACCTGACCACCCCCCTCCTTCCCAGTTTAAGACTGCTAAGTGTTGACTGATATGTCTCCCTTGCATCATGCTTAGAGAGCGGGCATGTACTGTGTGCTCAGTCATGTCTGACTCTTTGCGACCCCATAGTCTGAAGCCCACCAGGCCTCCCTGACTGTGGAATTTTCCAGGCAACCATAGGGGAGTGGATTGCCATTTCCTTCTCCAGAGAGAGGGCATGATTTTACTCAAAAACTGGAAGACTAAAATAATGAACTTGTAAGACCCATTGCTGTGAGGGCTACAATTCAAGCTTAGAGCATTTAAAACAAAATATCACAGTGATTACCACAGAGTAATAAGAACTAAGTAAGCAAGAAGAACTGAAGTTTTAATTTTACCTGATGTGTTAATAATTAGAAAAGTATTCTGCATTTTGGATACTTTGTATTCTGTAAGTGACAGTATACCAATATACATGTACAAGCTGAGGAATAATGACTTTATATTTAGCCACAGTATTTTAGAATCTCAGTTGGTTTACATGTACAATTTGGATATAGTTTTCCACATAATTCAGAGAAAAATAACAAATGATAACATTTCTAGGAAAAGAAAGCCCTTACAAGCCATAGAAGTTATTTGAGAAGAAATCCATCCCTCAGTGGGTCATCATCTTCTACTATAAAACTTGCGGTACCTGTGTAATGTGCTCGTCCGGATACTTCCACTATGACAGCTTTAAAATCACCACATTTTGCTTCCTGAAAAAAAGATGATGAAAGAAAAATATCAAGGTATTGCCTGCATAGTTTACCTAGCCTAAAAGTTGTATTCTCAAATTTTATCATTTTAAAGAGCATCCAAGAGTTAAGTGGGCCTCCTCGGTGGCTCAGTGGTCAAGAATCCACCTGCAGTGCAGGAGACATAGGAGGTGTGTGTTCGATCCCTGGGTCGGGAAGATCCCTTGGAGGAGGGCATGGCAACCCACTCCAGCATTCTTGCCTGGAGAATCCCATGGACAGAGGAGAATTGGAGGCCGAAAAGAATTGGAGGCAACTGAGCACAGCGATCATGTAGGCAATTGGGAGGCTTTTAAGTAAGTGACTGTATTCGTGTTTTTAGATTCAGTTTAGCTGTAAAGTGGGGAACTAGTTGGGGGAAGAGAGAGACTAGAAACCCAGCAACCTGTTAAGAGGTAACTATAATTCATCAATGAAATCTAGAGACAGGAGGGCAGTTTTTAGTGAGAATGCAGAACAAAATACAGAGATGCTTTGGAGGCAGAATTGATAGGCCTGGGGCTGCTGTCCACAGGTGGTGAGAATCAGTTCAGTTCAGTTGCTCAGTCGTGTCCGACTCTTTGCGACCCCATGAATCGCAGCACGCCAGGCCTCCCTGTCCATGACAAACTCCCGGAGTTTACTCAAACTCATGCCCAATCCAGCCATCTCATCCTCTGTCATCCCCTTCTCCTCCTGCCCCCAATCCCTCCGAGCATCAGGGTCTTTCCCAATGAGTGAACTCTTTGCATGAGGTGGCCAAAGTATTGGAGTTTCAGCCTCAGCATCAGTCCTTCCAATGAACACCCAGGACTGATCTTCTTTAGGATTGACTGGTTGGATCTCCTTGCAGTCCAAGGGACTCTCAAGAGTCTTCTCCAACACCACAGTTCAAAAGCATCAATTTTTCGGTGCTCAGCTTTCTTCACAGTCCAACTCTCACATCCATACATGACCACTGGAAAAACCAGAGCCTTGACTAGATGGACCTTTGTTGGCAAAGTAATGTCTCTGCTTTTTAATATGCGGTCTAGGTTGGTCATAACTTTCCTTCCAAGGAGTAAGCGTCTTTTAATTTCATGGCTGCAGTCACCATCTGCAGTGATTTTGGAGCCCCCCAAAATAAAGTCTGACACTGCTTCCACTGCTTCCCCATCTATTTCCCATGAAGTGATGGGACCAGATACCATGATCTTTGTTTTCTGTTGAGCTTTAAGCCAACTTTTTCACTCTCCTCTTTCACTTTCATCAAGAGGCTTTTTAGTTCCTCTTCACTTTCTGCCATAAGGGTGGTGTCATCTGCATATCTGAGGTTATTGATATTTCTCCCAGCAATCTTGACTCCAGCTTGTGCTTTTTCCAGCCCAGCTCATGATGTACTCTGCATATAAGTTAAATAAGCAGGGTGACAATATACAGCCTTTTCCGATTTGGAACCAGTCTGTTGGTCCATGTCCAGTTCTAACTGTTGCTCCCTGACCTGCATACAGGTTTCTCAAGAGGCAGGTCAGGTGGTCTGGTATGCCCATCTCTTTCAGAATTTTCCAGAGTTTATTGTGATCCACACAGTCAAAGGATTTGGCATAGTCAATAAAGCAGAAATAGATGTTTTTCTGGAACTCTCTTGCTTTTCGATGATCCAGCAGATGTTGGCAATTTGATCTCTGGTTCCTCTGCCTTTTCTAAAACCAGCTTGAACATCTGAAAGTTCACGGTTCACGTATTGCTGAAGCCTGGCTTGGAGAATTTTGAGCATTACTTTACTAGTGTGGGAGATGAGTCCAATTGTGCGGTAGTTTGAGCATTCTTTGGCATTGACTTTCTTTGGGATTGGAATGAAAACTGACCTTTTCCAGCCCTGGGGCCACTGCTGAGTTTTCCAAATTTGCTGGCATATTGAGTGCAGCACTTAAACAGCATCATCTTTCAGGATTTGAAATAGCTCAACTGGAATTCCATCACCTCCACTAGTTTTGTTCGTAGTGATGCTTTCTAAGGCCCACCTGACTTCACATTCCAGGATGTCTGGCTCTAGGTGAGTGAGCACACCATCATGATTATCTGGGTCGTGAAGATCTTTTTTGTACAGTTCTTCTGTGTATTCTTGCCACCTCTTCTTAGAGATGAGTTAAATATGAGCACAGTGTCGAGCCTGGAAGCGCAGCTGCGCGACCATTAACCAAGATGGGGAATGAGATAGGAAAGAACACATTTAGGAAAGAAGAACTTTTTAATGAGTTGAGATATCTCTGGGACAATCATCTTGAAATGAGTTTAGTGGACAGTGTTAGACTTGAGAGAGAGGCACAGATAAGCATGGTAGGGATGAAGATTTGGGTGGTTGAGAATAGAGTTCCTTCTCCCATGGGTGAAACTGCCCATCTGCATCAAATGTTTTGCCTCAGAGCAAGAAAATGTGGTGTTTAACAGCACAGTGTCTGCTCAGAGAGACCTATCTTCATAGCCTGGCTCTGCTGTCTGTTTGACCTCTGGCAAAGTGTCTGAACTCTAAATTCTCATAGGATTCTTGTGATAATTACATGAGATGGTACATATGAAATGCTGAGCTTAGAAATTAACACATAGTGAAGCACCCAATAAATGTTGACAATTATTATTTTATCTTAAATCTCAGACTTCAGGACAATGTATTTCAAATTTCTGCATATAACATGGTATTCCATTAAGATCACTGTATTGTGTAGAAATCCCTTAGAGAAAAATTCAGTATTCAGAAAAACAAAACTTTAAAACAGCTATATTAGATTTAAAATCTTTATTAGGAAAATTTATTTGCTATATTAAAGGACTCTTTCTGAGTATATTAATTTACCAGCTGCAATTTAATCATATTATAGTAGATTTCACTTACTGCTATGAGTAAATTCATTAATTAGCTCTGCTAGCACATTTGAAATTTTATTACATTATATTAATAAGGGGTACCCAGGTGGCACTAGTGGTAAAAACTCAGTTGCCAATGCAGGAGACTTAAGAGATCCGGGTTGGATCCCTGGGTTGGGAAAATCCCCTGGAGAAGGAAATGGCAACCCACTCCTGTATTCTTACCTGGAGAATCCTATGGACAGAGAACTCTAGTGGGCTAACGTCCATGGGGTCTCAAAGGGTTGGACATGACTGAAGATACTTAGCACTATATTAATAAGAACTCTACTTTCCACAACTTTTCAACTTTTCACATCTTACTATATAAAATGGAATATTCAAAAAAAAATAAAATAAAATAAAATGGAATATTCGTATAGAATAAAAACAAAAAAAATCCAAAACCTAGTTTAATGGTTCTCAAACATTTTGGTCTCAGAATCCCTTTATACCCTGAGATTTGAGGACATCACCAGCCATTACCTTAATACAAAAACCAGACAAAGACACCAAAAAAGTAGAAAATTCGGGTCAATATCTTTGATGAATATAGTGGCCAAAATCCTCAACAAACCAATCCAACAATACAAAAAAAAAGATCATATACCATGATAATGCTGGATTTATACCAGGGTCACAAGGATGGTTCAACATACACAAATCAATCAATGTGACACACTACATTAACAAAAGGAAAGACAAAAAGCACATAATCATCTCAATAGTTGCAGAAAAAAATCCCAGAATATTAAATATCCATTCATAATTAAAAATGTTCATCAAAGTGGGACTAGTGAGAACATATCTCAACATAATGACCATTTATGACAAACTTGCAGCCAATATAATACTCAATGGGGAAACGCTGAAAGCCTTCCCGGTAAATTCAGAAACAAGACAAGGTTGCCCATTTATGCCACTTCTGTTTAACCTAGTATCAGAAATCCTAGCCATAGCAATCAGATATGAAAAAAAAAATCCAAATTGGAAAGGAAGAGGTAAGCTGTCACTATTTGCAGATGACATGATACTCTATACAGAGAACCCTAAAGCCTCCATCCTAAAACTACTGGCACTAATAAAGTTCTAAGTTGCAGGATATAAGATTAATATACAGAAATCTGTCACATTTCTATACACTAATAATGAAATATCAGAAAAAGTAAAAAAAAAAAAAAAAAGAATCTCATTTAAAACTGGGTCAAAAAATACCTAGGAATAAACTTAACCAAAGAGGTGAAAGACCTATATGCTGAAAACTATAACACATGGATTAAAGAAACTGAAGATGATGTAAAGAAATGAAAAGATATTCCATGTTCTTGGACTGGAAAACATATTATTATTAAAATGGCCATACTACCCAAAGCAATGTACAGATTTAATGCAATCTCTATCAAAATACCTAGGACATTTTTTACAGAACCAGAACAAACAATCCTAAAATGAATATGGACCTCAAAGAGTTTTTTAGGTTATATCAATTAATATTTTCTATATTGGAAATTAAACATATTGTTCATTTATAAATTTATATATATTTTCATTCATTCATTTATAAATAATAAATCTGTTGCATGTTGTAATAAATTTTTGTTTGAAGAGTTAAAATTCTCTTCTAAGAGCTTAATGAAGAAACTTATCTAACATCCAACTCAGGTCTCCAGAATCTGTAAGATATTTACAGACAAGAAGCTACAGGTACCACTCACCCTCACAGCCTTCCCTGTGAATACTGAGCCAGTTGCACTGCTTTTAAAGGCTCTGGTCTGGTTCAGTTCTAGAAGCCCTTTGTGATACTGAAGGGCAATTCGAGCTGTCACTCCTGAGCCGGTAGGACTTCTGTCAACCTGTTTCAGAATAAATGAAGATAGTGTTCACAGTGTTCTAGTTCCATATTACCTGGCTGTGTGCCTAAAAACCCCAGCTTTAATACCTGTTCATCTGCAAACACACAGATATTGGTGGTTGGTTCCTCATTGTAAGCGTCTTTTCCATCTGTCAATATAGTTCCATATAGAAAAGCGAGATCTTCGCTGTCAGGATGATTAATTTTAAACTGTAAATAAAATAATTAACAACCACATGTAAAATAAATATTTTCATTCAAATTTATCTTTTAAATAACAGATATGGGGTACTCTTAGATATAATTTTTCCATCTTTATCATTTTAAAAAATATTTTTTTGGGTCACAACACTAAATATTGATATTAGAAATTACATATTTTTCTAGATGAATAAAGATACTTTTGTTGGAAGGTATGATTCTTACACTTTGAGCCCTTTCTAAGGAAGTCATCCTGCATGTATCCTCTACTGAAGGAACAGCCGTATTTCATACACTTAACCCCTAAACATATGCACTCTTTGAAGCACTGACCTCAGCACTGACCCCAGGATAGTCAATTCACAGGCCAGCCATGGCTGCTCAAACAGGAAGAGAAAGGCAATCCTTTTCTCACCCTAAGGAGCTTGAAGAGGGTAGTGCAGAAAAGTCAAGCAATGAGTATCTAGACCTGAAATTAATATCACTGATAAACACAAGAACTGTAAGAGGCCAAGAGCAAGCAAAAAGTATAAGGTTGCAGAAGTTATTAGGTTAAGAAAAGCAATTGGATGGGGCAAAAAAGGCTTATTATAAAGGACTGAAGTCAGTATCATAAAAAGCAGGGCAGCTAAATCACATGAGCAGTAAAGCTTGCTGCTACTGCTACTAAGTCACGTCAGTCGTGTCCGACTCTGTGCGACCCCATAGACGGCAGCCCACCAGGCTCCCATCCCTGGGATTCTCCAAGCAAGAACACTGGAATGGGTTGCCACTTCCTTCTCCACTGCATGAAAGTGAAAAGTGAAAGTGAAGTCGCTCAGTCATGTCCGACTCTTCGCGACCCCATGGACTGCAGCCTACCAGGCTCCTCCGACCATGAGATTTCCCAGGCAAGAGTGCTGGAGTGGGTTGCCATTGCCTTCTCCAGTAACGCTTGATCAGGCTCAAATGTGCAATGCTTCCTGTTCTTCTTGGAAGGTCTGGCTGTTTAACTTCTGGATTTCTGTAACATCTGTTAGCCTGGCCAAGATGACTATAATCTTACTTCTATTGTATCCCAATGGTTAGTACATTCCCCTACCACTTACCTATCATTTAAAGCAGCTGAATAGATTGGAGTCTTAAAATCCAAGGAGTCCATCTATAACTCAGTTAAAGAATGCTGCATATTGGACCTTTGTTCTCCACCCCCTTAAAGCCCCCAAGCCCGCTCCATGATAGCACTAGTACATCACACTGCACATAGGGATGGTTCCCCCACTAGACTGAGCTCCTTGAAGGTGGTGGGGTTTGTTCTTCCTCTGGTCTCCAGCATCTAACATAGTGTCTGACATACAACAAGTCCTTGGTAAATGGTTGTTTAAAGGATAAGGACAAATTTATATTACATTTACTTTAGCCCCCTTCCCTCCCAAATGGCCTTTGCCTATATCTGCATAAGCAGTATCAGTGGTCAGCAATTCACAAAGTAGACCTACTGCCTGCTTCATCACTGACAGAACTTCTCATATTTTCCTCAGAACCCTTCCTCCCTCAAAGTCCGCCCCTTACCACCTTAGTGAGACGTTCTAGCTTTAACGAGAAGTTCAAACTTCCTCCTTTTATAGGAAAACAATGCCTTTTCCTCTTGATTTTATTTAAAAATAAGGTCAAACTATTTTGTGTCAAATTGTTAACTCAAACTATTAGCTGTCTGCTTACTGGAACAGAAAACAGATGTAAGTCCAGAGTTTCAGAAGTTTTCATGATAAAATAATTCTATATATTCGTATTGGAAGTCCTGGAAAAATGATAATTTAGAACAGGGTTATAGTATATATTTTCCTTTTGCTATTTAGGTTATAAAGTTATAGGTTATTTCATTAAATTAAAGCCTCAGATATGTTAAATAGGCCTTAAATAATTTTTAGTAGAAGTATTCTAGATTCTATCTTTCCTAAGTTATTTTTACCTAGAACGATAATTAAATTTTCATATGCTAAAACATTCAAATATGTATATGAGTTTTATATATAGGTCCTAATTAGGTAAAATGTCAGATTTGTGCTAGAAGTGAAAGAATATTCTAGAATTACTTATTATCAAAACTGATTTTGTAACAACAGTTTTCCCAAGTCAAACTGGAGTTACTTGAGTTATTACTTGGAGTTATTACTTCTCAGCAATATTGAAAAAATTCACTAGCTAGGAATTAATATTCTCTGTGAAATAAGAGAAGTTCTGATCAGATTTAATGAAATCTATTTTGTAAGCTATATTTGACATTCATTATTTTCAAGTTTTGCAGAATGACCACATATATCAAAAGCATTTCAAAGTGTAATATTATCTATTTTCTATTTGTTTAAGTAACCACAAATTATATTATTATTACTTATTATTGAAGTTAACAGTTGTCATTTGTTAACATTTACTATGGCATAGGCACTATTCTAAGTCCTTTACACATACTGACTTACAACTCCCTATGAAGCACCAATTTCATAATTTCCATTTACAGATAGGAAAACTGAGGCACATGGAGGCGATGTAACTTGTTCAAGGTTACAAAAGTTACAAATGGCAAATCTACAACACCCAGGTAGTCTTGCTCTAGAGTTTAAGATTATAACCAGCACCCTGTTCTTAGCACGACTAGTAATTTAAATGCAGAGAGGAGATATTTAATTTTCTGTAGAGACATGTCATTTATATTTCCTTCACGTCACAGAGGAGGCTATCAGCTATGACAGCAGCATCAGTACTGACCTGAGCCTTCACTGCTTCTGTCACCGCACTCGCCGCAGCCACGAGGTCCCTTGTCTTTGCAGAACAAACATCGAGTCCTAACTTTTCAGCACTAACAAATGCATAAAATGCACCACCATATGCAACGTCCACCACCACCTTTCCATGACCAGGAACATCCACCAGGAAATCTAAAAGAGATGTGTTTGAAAATAAGTTTTAGTATTTCAGCAATAAAATTCACATCATTTTAAATTCATGTGTATTAATGGGTCGGGGGGGTGAAGAGTATTTTTTCTTATCTTAGGAATGCAGCAAAAATCAATTTTGAAAATGAATGTGCATCAAGTAAATAATAACAGAACTTTAGCTAAGTACATCTTTCTATTTTTAATTTCAATGAGGTTTGCATAAGTTTTAGAACATCTGAATGCCATATTTTTCCTAAATCATACTTACATATTTTGTTAACTATTCTGAGGATCTTTTCTAGAAAACATCATTGAAGCAGAGAGAGAGAGGAAACTCTGGGATATGAATGTGTGAAAACTATGAAGGAAAATGTAGGTCCCTCTCATACTATTGGGAATGGTTTAAAACAGTGAGGATTTGGGATCCTATTCACAAACTGGTTTCCTTCAGCTATAACGTCAAAACAAAATGAAAAAAAAAAGTTTTTTTTCTATCCAAGTTACAGATACTTATTTATCTAGAAATTTTCATCTCAAGTATCCTGCAGGCAAATATCCAGAATAAAGCCATTATAGAATCACTGGCCTTTACAGTATCATTTTGCATCAGGGTTTTTATTTGGTATTTTAAGTCCCTGACATACCCCAAATTTCACCTGAACTGCAGTTGTTTGAAATCCTGAATTTGTATTTCCAAAGGAATGGGCTGGTGATATTTTGGGACATTAAAACAGTTTACCTTTCTTTGCATTTTCTTCTCTTTCTCCTCCTTAAGTCAAATGGGCTTAAAGATCACTGCCTCTGGGGGAGGCATACAGCAGGGGAGAAAGCAGGTCTTTCTGCTTTTGGTTCATAGAAACCTAAGTTATCAGGGGAAGATTTGTTGGCAAAGCAGTGTCGCAAAGGGAGAATACAGTGATGAAAATTAGTTTTCACTTTAGCTGGGTGGCATAGCAATGAACTCAGCAACTCTGAGGTGGGGACTATTGTTATCCTCTCTTTATAGATGACACTGACGCATAGAATCCCTTCCACAAGGTTAGAGATGGGAAGGGGCAGAGCAATGATCTTGAACACTATCAGTCTGCCTTTTAAGCAACTCCGCTGCTGGGGTGGCCTGGGGGCGGAAGTCAGGTAACCAAGCCAGTTAACAGTTGAGCTTTTTTAAGATGCAACCCTAACATAAATTCTTGTCTCCCTCATGTGCCCTCCCAATCCAATATGACACCATTTCTTCTGGGCAAATGGTATCAGTTTTCCCAGTGGCATTCTTTTACCAACTTCTGTGTTTCAGGAGCCTGAGGTTGGTCTAAGACTCTCAAACACCTGGGCTATTACTGCATCATTCATAACATTCATAAACAGGTTAATCGGGAACCCCAGTCCACCCGGAGGCTCAAGATTAAATTAACAGAATGATTTGCATGGCTTGAAGTCTTTGAAGAAAAGGAGTGATAACCCTATACCTGTACTGACTAAATTAGCACACAGCTCAGTTCTAGTCAGACTACTAAAGCCTCCTCTGATAGAATTCAGCCTTTACTGATAGGATTTTTAAGGATCTCCCTCTTTGTAAAGATTATAATTACACTGTTTAGCATGACATACAGGCTCTGTACTAGAGAACCCACAAAAACCTTTTCAAGGCTCTGCACTCCTAGAGAACTAGCAACCTGATATATTCTGCAGTCTTTGTATCTCTAGGAAGATAGACACTTTTTACAGATGAGCTCCAGCAAGCTCATCTGTGTTTACTAACTTGTCAGGCGGCGATAATGTGCTCAGCAAGCATATTCTGAGCCATCCTGGAGCCCTGTTCGTGGTTGGTCTTTGCACTTTCCTTGACCCTAGGTGGACTTTGCTTTACCCAACTGTGAAACCTTCAGGAATGCCTGAGAGAGGGGAACGAAGCTTTTGAGTAAGGGAAACACGGAACTCTGTACTCCTCAAGGCTCTCCCCAAACCACAGATGGATACTTCTGCGAGATAATCAATTTGGGTATTGTTGAGTGGCTAAGTCGTGCCCCACTCTTTGAGACTCCATGGACTGCAGCCTGCCAGGCTCCTCTGTCCATAGGATTTCCCAGACAAGAACACCGGCGCGAGCTGCCATTACCTTCTCCGGGGATGTTCCCATCCCAGCCTCCTGCGTCCCTCACTGGCAGGTGGTTCTCTACTGCTGGGCCACTAGAAAAGCCCCAAGTTGCATGCATTACACAAATTCACAAGGCTAAAATGCTGACATCCACTTGCAGGGATTTAGAATTACCTTCTGATTGACTGTAAAAGCTTGCGGGGTGGGTTAGTTGCGCTCGTGGGCTCCAGCCTACAGAGACAGTTAGTGTAATTAGTTGGGTCCTGGGCTACAGGGCCGAAAGAGTCCCGCCGGTTACCTGTGGCCAGCACAAAGGCCGGGACACTGTGGAAACGCACCGGGCCGCGACTGCGGCCGCCCTCGCACTCCACGAAGGCGGCCACCAGCCCGCACGGGCAATGGATGTTGACCAGGGCCTCTCGGGCGTCGGCCGGGGGCGCCGGCACCAGCCCGAAGTCGAGCGCGAAGCGGCCCAGCGCCAGCACCGCGTGGCCGCACATAGAGCTGTAGCCCTCGTTGTTTAGGAACAGGACCCCCAGGTGCGCGTCGGGCAGCTCGCTCGGCACCAGCACGGCTCCGTACATGTCCCGGTGCCCCCGGGGTTCGAACATGAGCCGTCGCCGCACATGGTCAAGGTGCTGGCGCATGTAGCGCCGCTTGGCCAGCAGCGTGGGGCCGACCACCTCCGGACACCCCGCCAGCACAATGCGCAGGGGCTCGCCGCCTGTGTGCATGTCCACCACCGACAGCGCCGGCGTCCCCGGGTCGTGTGGAGGCAGCCGGGGCACAGTCATTGGGCCCGCCATAGTCTGCCCCCGGGAGAGAACTCTACCGCCACGCCGACGCGCGCTTCACGTCGCGAACCCACCCACACCCTCCGCCCTACAGAGGCAGGCCTTGTGGCCGGCTCAGGGGGCGGGGCCTCCGAGCCGAGACCCGGAAGCGCGAGGAGGGGCGGGGCTTCGGAGCGGGCTCCCGGGTTACTAGGAGGCGGAGCCGTCTAGGGCGCATTGGCCCGGATGTCCGGGCGCGGTGGCTTAGTCGGTTAATCCCCGAGTCTCTCCAAGTAAACCTACAAGCTGCTGATGGGTGAGTGGTCGCCAAGGTCCTGGGAAGCGTTTATCTTAGCCCCTGCTTCTACCCTACGCTGCCAGCTCTGCGCTTGGCTCCAGCGGGTGGCGTCCGGATAGCGGCAAGTCCTTGTCCTTTGTTCCCACGCGTTTTTGGCCGAACCGAGGTGGGATGGGGATAGTCTCTGCTCCAGGCAAACCGAACTGGGGAACCGACTGCACGCGGGAAAGCTCAGGCCTTTGTTGTTTATTCAAAATGTCACCTCAATTCCTTTTTTCAGTCCCTTTGTTTAACATTCCTCAGGGTTAACTTGACAATTTAAAGCGCAGGCGTTAAGTGCAGGAAAACAGTAAAGAAAACAAATTAATGCTGCTTTACTGTTGTGTCTTCCTTCAGCATCAAACGTAAGTTTTGGGGGCCGTTCCCAAAGGACCGTGACAGTTGCAAAACAGTTAAAAATTCAGATCTCCTTTACTATGGGAAATAAAAGGGGAAAGTGAGCGGACAGTGGGAGCTAGGTTTTTTGTTTTCTTTAAGTGGACAGTAAGGTTTTGCTTATTGGAGAAGGAAATGGCAACCCACTCCAGTATTCCTGTCTAGGCAATCCCGGGGACACAGGAGCCTGGCAGGTTATAGTCCTTGGGGTCGCAAAACAGTCGGGACACGACTGAGTGACTAAACAACAAGCTTTTGCTTTCAATTTATCATTGCTGATTTTCAGGTCTTGGGTTTTGAGAAATTGTAGATTATTTACAGTCAGATGTATTAAGCAACTGTTAGAGGCAAAATCGGTATAGAAGAAGTTTACAATTTTTTTAACTTACGTGTTCTCAAAAAATCTGAAGCAACTCGCTTTGGTCTATTAGTTTTTGGTCGATTAGTTTTAGTCTATTAGTTTGTGATTACAGTTGGTTTAAAAATAAGTGCTGAACTTTCCTGGTGGTCCAGTGGTTAAGAATCTGCCAGCCAATTCAGGGCACAGGGGTTCAGTCCCTGGCCTGAGAATATCCTACATGCCCCAGAGCAACTAAGCCCCTGCACCACCAACTACTGAGCCAGGGCTCTAGCGCCCAGTGCTTGGCAAGGAGAGGCCTCAACGAGGAGGAAGCTCGCTGCAAGCCAGAGAGCAGCAGGGAAGACCCAGGGCAGCCAAAAACAATAAATAAATATAAATATATAAATAATAAATGAAAAGAAGCAACTGCAATAGTGAAAAAAAATTTTAAGTGCCAAGGTAAAGAAGCCTGTGGGGTTTTTTTTATTTTAAAGTCAGAAATTTGACAAAGGTAAACACATTAAACTTGAGGCATTTTAGTCTGTGCTATTTCTATTTTTCTCAACAGCACAAGGAGAAAGAAAAAAGTCTACTGTAATTTGAAAGAAGAAAGTATTGTGGATCAGGCAGTCTCTAGATTGTGAATTCATGAAGAATTTGGGAAATGATTTTTCAGGAAAAGCTTAATTTCCCAAATTCACATTTGACCAGGACTTTTTCCACAGTAGGGTGTAGGTTCTTTGAGGATACGGCCTCTGTCATGTTCCCCTGTGGATCTATCTGGGTCCCTCACCAGTGGAATCACACTTAATGCATGTTTACTGAGTGAACAAATCAATGATTGAAGGGAATCAGATGTCACTGATGAAAAAAATTCCTTTGATGATAACTTTTCCCTGTAGGTGAGGTCAAAGACAGTCTGTAGGCCCTGAGTTTTTTGGTTAAAAAGAGCTGCTTTGTATGTTGTCTAAGGCTTGAGATCAGAGGGTTGATTCTGAGACAGTGCTTCCTAAGTACTGGTCAGAGGCCCAGTGACAGCCTTGATGAAATCTTCACCTGTCCTCTACAAAAATGACCAAAGTTAAGATAACTTAGTAGGCTTCTTATGAAGTGAATTTATTTACCTTAAAGTCCTTTTATTCTGAAATTGTGTCCTTTCTGCTTTTCTGGTATTAAAATGTGTTCTGTCATGAAGGGAGGTGATAATAATTTTCATGTGTTTTAAGGCATGACTTCATGTTCTTTTGGGGCAAAAATCCTCTATTAATCCTCTAGTTAAAAAAAAAAAAGGGAAGTTAAAAAGTCTAGACCATCCAATCAAAGTGAGTGACTGGCTGGAGCCATTGGAGACATTCTAGGCTAGGCTTTGAGTCCTGGGCAGAGTCTGCCTTGCTGGATGAAGACCTTGATCTTAAGAAACAGTATTAGCAACAAGGTTCTATGGAACCTTCAGTAGTGTCACAGTATAAAAGGAAAACTAAATACATGCATCAAGACTTTTGTCTTATTAGCAACAAGGTTCTATGGAACCTTCAGTAGTGTCACAGTATAAAAGGAAAACTAAATACATGCATCAAGACTTTTGTCTAATACATATTTTTTTTGTTGGAACTATGTTGAGATAATTTCTGCCAACTGTTTCAGCTGTTATTACCTAATTTTTTATAATCACAAAAGATGTTACTGTACTGGCATTTGTTTTTAAAAAGCTGTCGATATTCAACCAGCATGCCTTGGACTTTATTGTGGGAAGACCCTGTTATTTAAAAATGGCTCAACTGAAATATATGGAGAATGTGGGGTAAGTCTTAACTTTGTATGTTATTTCATTTGTAAAGTCTGCTTCTGAAATATTGGGACATGTAGAATAACTTTTTTCTTCAGTGTATTTCAACTTTAAAAAGAATATGGAGGCATTACTAAAATTCTCATTTGTGTTGTCATATTGACTGTCTGTAATACATCTTTGTGACAGTCACAGTTACTATTTTTTAATGGATAATTTAATAGTTTCTAATTACTTTTTATTAATGTAAAAAAGTAACTTGGACAAAAATTTAACATTACAACTCCAGAGCATTTCTCTACAGTTTTTATATGATGTTAATAACTAGGTTTTTCATGTAACTTAGTCAACTATTTTAGTAACTTAATAGAGCATTATACAGGTATAACAAATACAATTTAGACTTTTTTATTTATGTTTTCTCTTTTATCTTTAAAAGATGCATGTGCGAACAAACGTTTAAACTGAAATATGACATCTTAGTGAACAATTTTGGGAGGGTGTTAATGTTCTAAAATATCTGTACATAAAATACTGTTCTTATATATTGTAGGTGTGTCCAAGAGGACAGAGAACAAATGCACAGAAATACTGTCAGCCTTGCACAGAGTCTCCAGAACTTTATGATTGGCTCTATCTTGGCTTTATGGCTATGCTTCCTCTTGTTTTACATTGGTTCTTCATTGAATGGTACTCAGGGAAAAAGAGGTTAGCACTTTTCTCTAAATGTGTCTGAATGCACTGATGTTGGAATAGTTGTCATTTAGAAGACCTTATCAAATAATTATACCTCTGTTATTTTACAAGTGGCAGGCTTGTTTTTCTTTTATCTTGACTGATTACTTTTGACTGTGGCCAGAAAACAATGCTAGAGCATGCCTCAGTAAATATTAAGGGAAATGTCCTTTGTTTTACTCTGAGTGAAGCTGGAGGAATATTTTATTTAATTTTTATTTCTTAATTATCTTTATTGGTTTTTTGCAAAGAGCTGGTTTTGATTACAAACTGTTTATTGTTCTAAAACAAAAATCTTTGCAGTTTAATACTAGTACTCTAGTATAATGTAGTTAAAGTGTTATGGCTACAACCTAGTTATGAAAACTCATACTAAAAGTCCACAAAAACTTACTGAGCATTGTGTTTGTTGTTTAGAAGATCAGGGGAAGAGATATAAAAATAATTGATGTGGTTGATAGCCCTCATCTTATAGAGAAGACAAATACATACATAACTAATTATAATACATATCAGTCTTGAAAGTATAGAACCAAAAACTGTATAAAAGCTTTATAAATAAAATGGTCTAGAGTCACAGAGAATGGAAGAGATAAAATTGTGCCTGGTGTCACCTGGAAAACGTCAAAAAAGGAACATTTCAGGTGGGGGTAACAGTGTGAACACTGGCATAGAAGTCTGAAACATGTGATCTCTTATGGGTGGGAATGGGAGTAGTTGGGTGTTCAAAGTGTGCATAGCATATGAGAGAAAGGTAATAAAAAGGAGGGTGAGAAAGGGGTCGAGGCCAGAATGTGAAAGTTCTTGGTAACGTGAACCTTATTCCACTGGGAATAAGGAACCAAATTCTACCATAGTGCATTCAGCCATCCTGACTTTTGGTTACTCTTAACATCTCAGCATCTTTCCTGCTTTAGGTCCTGTCCTTTTCCCCAAACTCTTCTCTGCCTGAAATATTCTCTTCTCCCTGCAACTTTTTACCTAGCTGCTTTTTCCCCTTTCCAATCTCAGTTTAAATTACGTCTACTTAGAGAAGCCTTCACTGACCCAATCTAAAGTAGGTCTGTCCTCATTATTTTTCTCTTTTAAAAGCACTGCTATTTTGTTGTTGTTGCTTTGTATTTAGCACTCAGCACAATTTGTAGTTTTGTTTGTCTCCTCATTTCATGCTCTCTCCCACCCCTGATTATAGGATCCATGAGGGCCTAACAATGGTCATCGCCATTGTTATCTATGGAATCTCCAGAGACCAGCACAGTTGCTGGCACATGATAGATACTAGTTATTTGCCAATGAATGATTTATTGGTGAAGGTTTTTGTTTGGAAAAAGAGTATCTTAGGTATATATTTTAAGAAGATGACTTCTGTGGAGGGCGGATTAGAGGTGAGACAGATTAGAAAGCTGTTGTCCAAAAAGTAGTGATGGCTAGACTCCACTGATAGGAACGGAAGTGAAGAGGATGGTCAGATGGAAGTAGAATAAGTACTTTTCTGGACCTATCAGATAAGTCCACATTGATTATTTACATTGGAAAACCATTCATTATTTTTCAGAAAAGAAGCCATTAAATTTTTTTTAAAGCAGCTGTCATCCTGCTTTTAGTTTCTGTTGTAGAATGATGAGAGAGGAGGGTGAGAAAAGAAATGTGATTAACAGAGCTAAAGTAAAATAATTGCTTATTTGGAACTTTATAGCTTGGAATGAAGAGGTGGGGTTAATGAATGTACCTCATCAAATACATTTGAACTAAAACATCAGATACGGTTTGAGAGAATTTTAGAGCAGAAGGTAGAGCTTTGGCTTGGGGATAAAGCAGAGATATGATCAGTGCTTAGACAGGAAAGGAGGTGGGCTTAAAAAGGAGTTTGCATAATTATGTTTTGCCTAAGAAGTTGGTAGCAAGAAATACAAGGGCCATCTCTTATGTTTTCCTGAGACACTGTACTTAGAATCAAGGAAGCAGGGGCCTACCTGTCTTAGGCTAGACTCAGTGTTTCTCAAATTTTTTCATTCTTTCCTCCTTAAAGAGCTTTTTAAGATACTTTCCCCCCCAAATTTCACCTGCCCCATGAAATTTTAGTATCACAGATATACTGTTTATTGATTTGTGTATATATGTATTTTATATATCAGAAGTGTAATTTTATACTCAAGGCTCAGTTCTTATCTCCTTGGGAGTCCTAGTGCCCACATAGAATGCATAGTTCAGTCGCTCAGTTGTGTCCAATTCTTTTGCGACCCCATGGATTGCAGCACGCCAGGCTTCCCTGTCCATCACCAACTCCCACAGCTTGCTCAAACTCATGTCCATTGAGTTGGTGATGCCATCCAACCATCTCATCATCTGTCATCCACTTCTCCTGCCTTCAGTCTTTCCCAGCATCAGGATCTTTTTCAGTGAGTCAGTTCTTCGCATCAGGTGGCCAAAGTATTGGAGCTTCAGCTTCAGCATCAGTCCTTCCAATGGATATTCAGTGTTGATTTCCTTTAGGATTGACTGGTTTGATCTCCTTGCTGTCCAAGGACTCTGAAGAGTCTTCTCCAGCACCACAGTTCAAAAACATAGGCTAGACACTAATCAAAACTTCCCTTTCTGGCCTGTTTGCTTTTCCCAAGAGTTTAGTATTAAATTTGTTTTTCTTTGAGACCAGGGCAGAGATAGGCAGAAAATGCATATTTTTATGTAATGAAGCCAGAAGCTGTGCTTCTTTTGTAATTTGTTTTCCAATGTATTCATGCAACAATCTTTAGGGATGTTTGCAATGTGCCAGGTGCTATACTAGATTGTGGGAGATAAGTATAATGTGTATTGGTGTGAATTTCTTTTTATTTATTCTGCTTGGAGTGTGTTTTGATTCCTAGGAAGAATTCTGTGAACTTGCTTTTCATTATTTCAGTTGAGCCCAGTCAAACCCGTGGTGGTTGCTTTAAGCCATTAAGTTTCAGGGTAGTTTGCTCTGCAGTGGTAGATAAGTGAAACATTGTTCAAGTAGAAAACTCAAAAGCATCTGTAGACTAGATATTATAAATGATGAGAGTTTAAGAGGCTGGCTATAATTATACAAAGTCAGTTCCCTCATATTTCATTTATAGAATCACAGTTCTGTGAGGTAGCAAAGCCCAAGGTAGCTAAGCTACATTGGATTTATACACTGGAACTTAACAAGCTAGTTCTGTAATTTATATGGAAGTTCAAAGGCCCAAGAGTGACCAGAACCACTGAAAAAGTAGAAGAATATATGTAATATCAGGAAATTACTATCATTCTGTTGTTGCAGGTATAGATAAATGAACCCCAGGAATGAAACAGAGAACCTAAAAGCAGACTAGTTATATAAGGGAACTTCTTATGGCAGGGATGGCATGGCAGCTTAATGAGGGGAAAAGATTTACTCTTCAATAAAATGCTGCCCCTGGACAGTTGGATATTCAAATGGGAAACGCTAAAGTTATATTCTAACTTAAACACAGAAATCTCTTTTAACTTATACACAGAAATCTCTTCTGAATGTATTAAAGATTGAAACATGAAAAGCAAAACCTTAAAACTTTTAGAAGAAAATACAAGATAATATTTTTCTTAGAGTGAGAATCTGTTAACCAGAAACTTAAAATTTGATAAAGCCAACTATATTAAAATTCAGAACATTTGTTCATAAGACATCACAAAGAAAAATGACAATTCAGCCCATAAACTGATAGGAAGATATTTGCAACATACTTTACTAACAAAGCAGGATAGATAAATAATAGAAATATCACAAGTAGAATGTTATATAGCAGTGAACGTGACTGAACTTCAGCTATAAGCAGGGCTATAAATGAATCTTAGAAATGTAATTCTGAGTGGAAAAAAAATCTGAGAAAGGTTATATTTCTTTATTGTGTTGAAAAATAAGCAAAACTAAATAGTGATTTTGAAGTATAAATACAGTTGGAATAAAAACTGTTCAGCAAAACTGATAAAGGCAATTTAATACAATGATCATTTCTAGGGGAGAGACAGGAATGTGGAGTGGGGAGGAACAGGTAGGGAACAGGTAGATACAAGTTGTTAATGTTCTAGTTATTGGGTTAGGTGGTGAGCTTACAATGTTTATTATATTTTTAACTAATGTATATTATATATAATCTTTTATGTACTTTTAATGTTTAAAATAATTTAAAATGATGCATAGATAACTTTTAAGACATTTTTAATAGTTTGGAGCGATATTGAATATAGAAGTAGATCCAATTTCTCCTCTTCTACACATTCAGACAATACAGGCACATTGTTATCTGGGATAAGTATTTATCCCTTTTTAGTAAACAAGGTTAAATTCTTCCCAAGTAGTTTTTGTATGTTCTTGACTTTTCTTACCTGTTTAGAAGATGTTTTTGTTTCAGGATTTATCAGTTACAACTTCTTTTTGGAATCACATTTTGAAGCAGATACAGGTTTTATCAACAGCCAGTTACATGCTGAGGATTCTCCGGTTACTGTCTGTCCTTTGCTTTATCAGTTCCAGCGCCCTCTTCCAGCACATTACTGCGCTGTTTGAATGCACCATGGCAGCTGTCATCACCTTACTTGTGAGCGAGCCAGTTGGTGTGCTTTATATCCGTTCATGTCGAGTATTGATGCTTTCTGATTGGTACACCATGCTTTACAACCCAAGTCCGGATTATGTTACCACAGTGCACTGTACTCATGAAGCTGTCTACCCGTTGTAAGTATTTATTAAGATCTTTTCTTTAAAATCGTGATTGTAGATTTCATTCATCTCAGCAGACTGAGCCTTGTGAAATGGCTCCTAGGCACTAGGGGAGATAAACATAAATTATTTTCTTTTCTAAAGTGATAGTCTGATAAGGGGAAATAGAAATACATCTCAGTATAATAGAAGTGAAAGTATTTTAGTGTTGATGTTGAGGTGTCTAAGCACTTCTAAAACTATATGTTTCTTAAAAGGGGAATTATAAGGAAAACCTTTTTAATGTACAACAGAGAAGCAATATCTGACTTATAGGAAATAATATGGGCTGTGGAGTTTGAATCCCAAGCCTGTTAGCTGTTAATTTGAACATGTTAAGAACCTCTTGTAATCTCAACCTCCCCATTGGTAAAAATGGGAAGAGTGATACCCTGTAAAGTGACTGTAAGGATTAAATAAGTGTGCCTTACATATAGGAAGCACTTCCAAGTAGCTGACATTATTATTAGAGTACTTGGGTTAATATTCTTTCTTTTTTTCCCCTCCCCAAATAAATGTAACTTTCACCAGAATGTTTCATTTTAAAAATATCAAATTAATCAGATTTTGTATAATATTATCCCAGACTACATTTTTAGAATTCCTGTGAATTGTTGGTGTTCATTTTGATGTGTTTTTCTCAGTAAAGGTACAGTGGAAGAGTCTGGTGTTTATATTCTCATAATTATAGAAATTTACCATTATGTATATGCTGAACAAAACAGACCTTTTTGTACAAGTCTTAGTAGTACTAAGTGTCAAAAAAATGCACGTATATAAAAAGATAATTTTCAAAAAATGAAATCTAAAAATAAGGTCCAGATATAGAGATATGAGAATATTTTCTAACTGCCTGCCTACCTTTTAAGTCCTGTAAATTATTTATTCCTTATATATATAAAATTATATATATAGACAGTCAGACATATAATTTATACATATAAACTGATTAATAATCTTTTTGGAGCTCTTAAGGAACTACAAGCTGCAGGAATAGACAGATTTTACTTTGTTTTGATGTTGGTAGGAGGAGGCCTTGCAATAGAAAAAAAACTCATCATCCAAGAGGTCAGGCTTGAAATAATGCAGTACAGTACAGGGCTGGACCTGAAAGCATCATGAGAGCACAGGGATCCTGGATCGCTGAGCTGTGTGAGCAGGCATGTGGTCAGTAATTTGGGACAACTCTTGTGCTTCTCTCGACTTTCTTCTGCACAGGAGAGGGTTTGAGTGTAAGTTAGTAAAAATAATTTTAAATCCTCATGAAAGGGAAGTTAGAAATATATATACGGAAATTCCATTGTTCAACATGAAGAGCTAGAAACTATAATCTGCTGATACAGAGAGAGTATCTTTTTACAACTTTTATTGTTATTTTTAAAAATTACATTATAGGACATTTGGAAAACAGAAAAAGCATACCCCAGATAAAGTAATCTATAATTCCATTTCTTAAGATGATCACTGCTAAAAATGTCTTTCCAGTTGTATTTCTGTGTGTATGTATGTATTTTTTTAAAAGAGTGTGAAAGTTATATTATTCACATGCCATTTATAATCTGTTGTCATTTAATGTATGAGGCACAGTTTTGTTGTTAACATTTCTTTCATAATTGGATTTTTAATGTCTGCATAGTAGTCCAGCAAAAATATATTCTAAAATTTAACCACTTTCCTATTGTTGAATATTTTCTTCCTGAGTTTCCTTTATCATGTGATTCAGTAAAAATGCTTGTTCATTGGGTTTTTGTGTATATCTGATGTTTCCCTTTGATTAATTTCTACAAGTAAACTTTCTGGATTAAAGATATAAACATTTTATGATTTTTGATACACATTTCCAAACTGCCTACCAGAAGGGAACCAGCATGCTTTTTACAGCAATATATGAGTGTCTTGGCTAACACTTTACCAATCTGAATATTTGATGGGTAGACTTTTTAAACCTTTTTCAGGATCTTTGATTTTAAAATGATCAATGATAAAAGGACATTTTAAAACATATTTTTGATATAACAATTTTATTATTTTATTTTCCAGATACACCATTGTATTTATCTATTATGCATTCTGCTTGGTATTAATGATGCTGCTCCGACCTCTTCTGGTTAAAAAAATTGCCTGTGGGTTAGGGAAGTCTGATCGATTTAAAAGTATTTATGCTGCACTTTACTTCTTCCCAATTTTAACCGTGCTTCAGGCAGTTGGTGGAGGCCTTTTATGTAAGTTTGATGGGTGACATCAATGAAACATATTTATTATATGTGTTAAACAATGTTTTTTGTGAGTATAATATTGGACCTTGTTCTTTAAAGTAGTTTTGTTTTTGTTTTTATCCTTGAAAATAAGCCATACTATATGTTTTTGCTGAAACACATCATCCTTAATCAAAACTAACTTGTTTAGAAAATACTTTGTATTTGAAGCTCACAACCTCATAGGAATTTTTTTTTAAATCTGAGTGTAAATAACAAAAACTGGTTTTTACATATAACAAATGGAAATAACTGTTGATATCATATGATGTTTACCATCAAGTTAGGTCTTAGTTTTCTAAGTTTTTTTAATCAAAAAACTTTTAGAAACAGTAAAAAACCCTCAATATATATTTTTTATTTTGATGTATCCATTCATTCATTTATTCAGCAGCCATTTAGACTGATCTGTGACTCAAAAGAATGAAAGTTGGTGTTAAAGAGCTCACATACTACTAGGAAAGCTATACTAAGGAGCTGAAAACATAGAGTGGTACTTTTTGAACGTGTGACATTGAATATTGCAAGGATGTTGGATACCATGTGTATATGGAGCTTGCCAGGGTGCAGAGGACAAGCTTCTGACCTGAAGGAACTGGGGAAGATGACATCACTGTGCAAGTACTGTAGCTTAATAATGAATTTGGTTCAAAGTGAGGGTGGAGCTGAGGGGAAGGCCAAGGGAAGAGGAAATTGGAGGCTAGTTAGGGGTCTTTAACCCTCATATTCTGATTTGACAGATAAATTGTTTCCTTTGGCCTGCATGGTGTTTGAAAACCTATAATTTTATTCTTCTAACTCACCTCTGTAAGCATTTGAAGTTGCTATTCTTGGGACCTGCTCTTAAAAGGATTTCAGGAGGAAGAGTGACTTGACTAGATTTGCATTGAAGAAAGATAACTTGGTAGCAGTGTGGAAGATGGATTGGCTGGGAAGAGAACCTGGAGCATCAGTTAAGAGATTACTGCCATGAAACCAGCCTGATTATGTGACCTAGCAGAGAAACACCAGGAATGAAGAACAGTTTCAAAGACAGAGTTAACTAAACTAGGAAACTAATACAGGGGTTGAGGGGTTGGGAGGAGAATACAATAAAGGAAATTTCTAACTTAGTAACTAGTGACTGCATGAATCATGAATGTTAGAAGAAGCAAATAGGTTGGTATTCATGGAATATCCAAAAGAGCACAAGTAGTTATTTACACTGGACAAACCTGGGAGAGCTGGCTAGGCTGTAAAGATTTAAGAATTGTCAGCCCTCAGATCCCTGTGTCCTGGACAGCAGCTGCTTCGACTGTAGAGAACTTCTTGGTTGTGAAATGGGGGAAAGAGGAACGTCGTGGAAAGCAGGGAGAGTCTGGGAAGTTAACCTAAGGAGGCTGCCAGATAGCATTGCTTCCAGTGTTGTAGCTACCCGTAGTGAAAATGCCTTTTCCCACACTGAATGTCTTTAGATAATTTTGTTAACAAGCCTCCACCCAGAGCACATTCATCAAGGGAGGATCAAGGAGTTATTGTCTATTTGTACTAAATATAAACTTATGCAGTCTGCTGAGATCAGTCCTAGAGGGTATTATAACAACTCAATTTTATGATGTTGAAAAAGAGATAATTTTTGGTTTGTAGGGGTGTCCTGGTTCAGGCTGCTATAAAAGAATACCATAGACTGGGTGGCTTACAAACAACAGTGACTGACTTCTTGGTTCTGGAGACTGAGGTCGAAGATCAAGGCACCAGTAGATTTGGAGTCTGAGGAGGACCTGTTTCTTGGTTCATCAATGGCTGTCTTCTTTCAGAGTCCTCACATGGCAGAGAAGGGGAGAGTTCTCTAAGGTCTTTTATCTTTGATAAGAGCACTAATCCTATTCTTGAGAGCTTCACCCACATGACCTAATCACCCCAAAGACCCTCTACCTACTTACACCATCACATTGAGGGTTAGGATTTCAACATAAGAATTTGGGGGACACAGACATTTAGTCCATGACAAGAGAATATAGCAAGCTTGAGCAAAGTAGAGCAGCAAGAGGCTTCTGGTAGCTCAGGATACCAGGGTCTAGGAAAAGAGACACTGGGAGTAATTAGGAAGATGTCAGTGACAACTTTTACTTGCTTGGAAGTATTATTGAAGCCCATTTTGAAGTGTGGTCTGCCTCTGAACCACCTACAGAACTAAAAGGCAGATTTTTAGGCACTACCCTCAGACCTAGTTGCTTAAAAATCTTATATTGTCTTCAGCCCTAGAATAAGAACAATTCTAAATCCTACTTTGAGCCCAGAACCTCCCTCTGCTCCCCAGAAGTTTGGGTCACGTTGGAAATTTCCTCCTTATCCTTTTAACTACTAGTTCTTAAATTTGTATCATTAGTAACATTGTTTAGCTATTTATAAGTTAATTGGGATTTTTTTTGAATGGTTGGTTAGGACCTAACCTGTTTAGGCAATAAAGGTTCTAAATGTCAACCAAGTCATTCATTTATTTAGTAAATTGGAATCAGGCTTGTATGGATAATTCAGAGTTTCTGACAGTGTTCCAAATGGGTTCTACTGGGTTACAGAGTAATTAATAGTTTTATTAGTTTGGTACAAAAGCAATTGCAGTTTTGGACCATGAGTTTTAAATCATTATAACTAGGCTCAGACACATCTTTATTAATCAAAATAGGAACCATTACATTCAACACATTTTTTCCAAAAAGAAATAGGTTTCTTTATTTCTGTAGCGTAAAAATCCTTGCTTCAGGACTCAACTTGGAAAGCATTTTCTGCCTCCTGGTTGTGTAAGCATTTTCTCTGCAAAAAGTTCTTGAGATGCTTGAAGTGGTAAGTGGTTGGTGAGAGGTCAGGTGAATGTGGTGGATGAGGCAAAACTCTGTAGCCCAATTCATTAAACTTTGGAAGCACTGGTTGTGAGGCCTGTGGTCAGGCGTTGTCACGAAGAACTGGGCCCATTATATTGACCAATACCGGCTGCAGGCATTGCAGTTTTCGGTGCATCTCTTTGATTTGCTGAGCACGCTTCTCAGATGTAATGATTTTACCAGGATTCAGAAAGCTGTAATGAATCAGACGGGCAGCAGACCACCAGTGACGATGACCTTTTTTGGGTGCAAGTTTGGCTTTGGGAAGTGCTTTGGAGCTGCTTCTCGGTGCAGCCACTGAGCGGATTGTCACAGGTTGTGTAAAATCCACTTTTCGTTGCACATCACAATCTGATCAAGAAATGGTTTGTTGTTGTGTAGAATAAGAGAAGACGACACTTCAAAAGGATGATTTTTTTGATTTGCAGTCAGCCCACAAGGCACCCACTTACCAAGCTTTTTCACCTTTCCAATTTGTTTCAAATGTGAAACAACCATAACAGTGGTTGACATTGAGTTCTTAGGCAACTTCTCATGTAGTTGTAAGAGGATCAGCTTTGATGATGGCTCTCAATTTTTGTTGTCAACTTCCGATGGCTGGCCACTATGCTCCTCCTCTTTAAGACTCTCGTCTCCTTTGCACAACTTGAACTGACCATGGCACTGTATGTTTGTTAGCAGTTCCTGGGCCAGATGCATTGTTGATGTTGTGAGTTGTCTCCACTGCTTTATGATCCATTTTGAACTCAAATAAGAAAATCGCTCCAATTTGCTTTTTGTCTGACATCATTTCCATAAACTAAAATAAATATAAAATATACAGCAAGTAAATAAGTCATTAGCAAGAAAAAGTGAGAAATACACATTAAAATGATGTATAACATAACTACATTTATTTAAGAAGGTATTCCAGTATCAAACAGCCAAGTTCAACAATGCAAAACTGCAATTACTTTTGCACCAACCTAATAGTAACAAGTTAATTGTTTTAAAATAATTGCATAAAAATAATTCAAGATTTTTTTCAATTTGTCCATTTGTTTTAGTGAGCTGTATATGTTTAAAACATTTTAAAAGTATTTTTAAGTAAAAATTTTACTTAAAATATTATTTTACTGTACTATTATTTGAATTAGAAATGTCTAGAAGTTTGTCATTAAGAGTACTGAATGATCCATTTAGCCTTTGAGGCTTATTGACATATGACCTTTTAATTAAAGCTGAATTACCCTTCTATATAGTAGTCTTTCTTAACTGAAGTTCCCCAATCTGGACCACAAAACACCAAAAATTGAGTGATTAGTTTCCCAATTCTCCCAAGTTTGATACATAGCAAGTATGCATAGGAGAGAAGTTAATTCTTTACATCAGTGGAAGCCTTAAGGCAGGGGTCTTCAAAACTGGGCCAAGGATAGTTTTACATCTTTTAATTGTTGGGGGGGGGGGAGATCAAAAGAGTAGTAGTATTTCTTGACATGTGACAGATAAAATTTGAATTTTATTGTCTGAATAACTTACCAGTCGTAACTTACAAACTTATAAAGTTAATTTTACTGAACACAGACACATCCATTCATTACATATGACCTGGGTGCTTTCCCACTGCAGCTGTGGAGTTAGGTGACCGAGACTGAGACTGTATGGCCCACAAAGCCACTGTCTGGCGCTTTACAGAAAAAGTTTGCTGACCCCTGTCTTAGAGCATTAGGCCTTTCATCTCTCACAGGATTGGTTGAGAAGGTTTTTGTCTAGGAAAAGAATTACACTGTTTGAATTTTTTGATGGTTTATTCAGAAACTTTAATTTTCAGCATAATACCAATGTTTGTCTTTCAGACTATGCCTTCCCATACATTATATTAGTATTATCTTTGGTTACTCTGGCTGTGTACATGTCAGCTTCTGAAATAGAGGTAGGATGTCTTTTTTCTTTTGTTAAAGAGTTTGTTTTTTAATAGATTTGACTATTGAATAGGACAGTTACATATGATACGTATGATACCATATGATACAGCTGATTGCTTTAGTAGTCCTTGGCTAAACAGGGTGACTCAGTAGCTTTTGGCTCATCAGTTTGTAAAAAGTTGTATCCTAGACTGTATTTGCTTGGGAAATTAATCAGGCTTAACTCTCCAGCATGTTAGAGAAAAAAATCATTTCACATCATTTATCCACATAGAAAATATTTGATTGTTGAAATGTTGAACCTTATTAACAGTATTTTAAGGGAAACATAAATTCTTTATTTTACATAGAACCGAGCCGATGAGCCATTTAATGAGGGAACGTTAACTAACCAGTTGCAAATTGTATTTTAGTGTGTTTATTAGCACATTTAGATATTACTTTTATAATTTGGTCCTTCCAATTTCTGTATATTATAGAGTGATATTAAGGTTAAAGGGAAATCAGAGTAGTCACCTGTCATTTCTGCTCCCTTCTAAGTATCCAGGCAGCTGACTCTAGGAATGCTAGAAATTGGGTGTATGTACTCCCTGCTTCCCATCTGTAGACTCAGATGCTGTGGATCAGGGCAGGAAGAAGGCACGAAATGTGGAGTTCCCTTCCAGTTTAGATTTTTCAGAAGCAGCCATAGTGTTTCCAGGGTCGAATGGGGGTGTAGACCAGAACCTAGAAATGTGGGCTCCTGTCTTGTCATGGCCACTGGTGTGCTGAACATAGGCAGCCTGAATTTCCTGATCTGTGAAGTATAGTAGCAAGACTGGGTGATTTCCTATGTCCCTATGATTCTGAGGTTATGATTTTGTGTGAAAATAATATGTTTCAAATTGAAATTAATTATCTAGTTGATTCAGCCCAATAATCTGTATCTCTCTCTTCTTTCTTTTACAAAATTTTATAGAACTGCTATGATCTTCTGGTCAGAAAGAAAAGACTTGTTGTTCTCTTCAGCCACTGGCTACTCCATGCCTATGGGATCATCTCCATTTCCAGAGTGGATAAACTTGAGCAAGATTTACCCCTTTTGGCATTGGTACCCACACCAGCCCTTTTTTACTTGTTCACTGCAAAATTTACCGAGCCTTCACGGATACTCTCAGAAGGAGCCAATGGACACTGAATGTAAAATGCCAAAAAAACCTAAGAAGTGTTCTTAATTTAAAAAAAAAGTAAAATAAAAAAATGTATTGGTACTCTTCTGTCGTACAAGGGAATATGATTGTCAGTACATCTGATGTTTTGAGGAGTTTGTTGTTTTCTTTTTTCAATTTAACAGAATTTATGGTTTCAAGGAAAATGCAAAATACCATAATTCTCCATTATGTAGTATAACCCACTGTACACTTACAGCACTCCGTTATATTCCACTGGAGGCCTATGAGGAAGCACTTACCTCTTGCAACAATTTAGCTGTTCTTTAGAGCAAAATCATGTTTCTGTGTACCTAGCAATGTGTGATGTTCCTATTTTTATTACGAAAAACTATTAACAAGTATAATCTGAAATCCTTAACACTGGCATAATTGTGCATGCCTATTATGTTTTACTTTGTTTTTCAAATATACTGAATTATAAAGTCAAGCATATTTGTGGGGTCTGATAGCAAACAAATAAAGTATGTTGTTTTTGTTATCTATTTATTTTCACCAATACAGTATTTTGATCTATTACAAAAATAGAGCATAATTTATATAACAGGTTTTTTGTTTTTAGGTAGTTTCGTTGAAGATATCCTCAGGTTATTCCTCTCCTGTAAAGAAAAACATTAATAAAAAGCTTAACTACAAAAAAATCTCAAATGTCTGGCATTTAATTGTATTTGCCACACTAGTTGTGGAAATAATTCAAAATGTTAAGTAATTAGTGTCTCTTTCCTAAATGAATAAACATGAATATTTATATACTTCCTCATTTTTGAAAAGCATATCTCATTTATCTCATTTTTAATGGATAAATACACATACCACATTTTATAAATCTCAAGACATAATTTTTGTCACATTGTGACATCTCAATTGATGGCTTCTTAGGTTTAACAAAATGCAGAGGGGTATATACAGTACATAGTTTTCCTGTGCTAAGTCACTTCAGTCGTGTCCCACTTGGTGTAACCCTATGGACTATACCCTGCCAGGCTCCTCCGTCCATGGGATTCTGCAGACAAGAACACTGGAGTGAGCTTCCATTTCCTTCTCCAGAGGATCTTCCCAACCCAAGGATGGAATCAGTGTCTCTTAGTCTACTGCATTGGCAGGCGGGTTCTTTACCATTAGCGCCACCTAGGGAGCCGATGGTTTTCCTGTGGTTGATTGTTGATGTGTGCTGTGATTTTTATGCTCCAAAGCCTTCAGGAGACTCATGGTTGCAACCATGGAAGCAAAATAAGATTTTTGCACTTAATAATCTGACCTAGTTTATCCGTTTGTATTATTCAGAAGGTTATTTCCTGATTCTCCTCCTTGGTAAGAGTTATTAAATCTCAAACTTTTAAGACTCTCATTGACAGTTGTGAAATATGAAAGAACGTGCACTCACTTTTTCTGTAGTTTTGTACCTTTTGAATTCACAGCAGTTGGGTCCAGTATTTTGTTAGCTTTTCTTCGTTGATGTTTTTTTCATACTACATTGAACTGCTGGGACGTGGATTACTTTAACAGGACTCTGTTTCTTCTTTTCTATAGGAATAAATGTAAAAATTCTCCGTGTATCTTACATAAGTTTAGGGAGTTACAACTTTAAATTGCCCCAAGAGTCCTCAATTGGATGACTGTATAATGAGCAGAGGGTGGGGCGTGGAGGGGTGGGGGAGGTGCTGGGGGATCATGCAACTGATTACCAGGGCAATCTTTGTCTCACTACATTTGGAGTCATTTTAATAATTATCTTCCCTTCCAATGTCCTCCTCTAGCAGAAAAATGTACATGCAAAAGGAGAAATCATGCAAGTAATACAAGTCCTCAAATGCAAAGAATTTCAGAAATAATACATATTTGCATTTTTAATTTGCTTCCTTAACAAAACTAGGAATTTATAGTAGCTATGGTTACTCAGGTTACTAAATAATTTTTTATAAGTCATTGAAAATACACAGTTTTGTCTTGGATCTCGCTGCTGCAGTGTATGGTAGTTATTTTGCTAATCACCGGACAGGTAATTTAAAAGCTAAAATTTTCTTAATTTGGGTCAGTTGATAAATTTAACAATTACACTGTTAATATATTTGTCTAAAACTGATGGTTTTCCATACTTGGCTGCACAATGGAGCCAGCTAGAGAGAATTCTAAAAATACTCGTGGGTCTCACCCCAGAGACTCGTGGTGAATTGGTCTGGCTGAGCAGAGGAAATTTTAAAACTTCCCCTGCTGCTGCTGCTGCTGCTGAGTCGCTTCAGTCGTGTCCGACTCTGTGCGACCCCATAGACAGCAGCCCACCAGGCTCCCCCGTCCCCGGGATTCTCCAGGCAAGAACACTGGAGTGGGTTGCCATTTCCTTCTCCAAAACTTCCCCTAGGTGACTCTAATGTTTGAAAACTAAAATCTAAACTCTTCCTAGCTCAGATCTTAATTTTTCCAAGAGGGCTTTAGAAAATTTCTGAATTACATTTTTAAGTATTTCTTACTGAAAATTTGATTCTGCTTAAATAACCAGGTTCTTTTCCAGAACTGAGATCAAAATATAGATAATTATAATCAAGTCCTTTTGATCACAATCATAAAAAGATAACAGAAAGCTTACACAAATTTTTATATCTTTCTCTAAAAATATCTCTTGACCTAAAAAAGTCTTCGTAGAGCACATATCAAGTTAAGATATTTGATTAGTACACAAATTGTTATCTGTTATCTAAATTATACTATATGGTATAATACTCAGGGATTTTTGGAAGTTTAAAACATTATTTTTAATACTTCCTTAAAAATAATCTTTGCAGGTTAATTAGGTTTGCTATACACCAAAAATTATTTATCTTTATAAGAAAGACTATTAAAGCAAAAAGTAATGATTTTAATTTTCAGGATGAAGTCTGGCATTTCACATTCTGCCAAGCCTATCCCTCATGCTTGCCAACCAGTACCTCCAGCAGATCTCTACTCAGGCACATCATTACTGTTCCCTGGCCAGTCCACGTCTACTGCTCCTTCAGGAAGACATCCCATGTACTCTCAACACCCCAAAGAACGGAGGTGCCTCTTTACCCTCCATTGCTACTGACGGAGGAATCCACTGTAGTCTAATCATCTCTTCACTTGTGTGTTTCTCACAGTGAATATGCTTTGAGGTTCAGGGACTGAGTCATGTTCAGTTTAGTAACATAAAAGTAAACATAAACGTTTAGTAAACGTGCTCTAGTGGGTTTCCCAGGTGGTTCAGTGGTAAAAGAATCTGCCTGCCAACGCAGGAGACAGGGGTTCCATCCCTGGGTTGGGAAGATCTGGAGGAGGGCATGGCAACCCACCCCAGTATTCTTGCCTGGAGAATCCCATGGACAGAGGACAGGCTACATACAGCCCATGGGGTCGCAAAGAGTGGGACATAACTGAGCGCCTAAGCTTGCAGGCGAGGGCTAGTGCCGGCTCAAAGGGACTCCGTATGCTAACACAGCTAGGGCGGTGACTGGGAGCACAGCAGACCCCGCCGGGCTGCAGCGATACACTGTGTCCACAAGAGGGTGCCGGAGAGGGCTGTTAAGCTGGAAGAGATCAAGGGCTTCTCTAGAAGTCCGCCAGTGACAGTAGCCATTCGATATGAAATATCCAAGAGCTGGTAGCTCAGAGTAATTCAAAGGGTCTATTATCTCCTCAGGAGGTACGAAGACTTCAGAAATATCAGTGCCTAATCTGTGTCTGAGGTATTATTTATTACTCCTGTTAGCATCCATATTTAACAACCACGGCAACTAACGTTGTTTAGTCACTAAGCTGTGTCCAACTCTTTCAGACTCCATGGACTATAATAGCCTGCCAGGCTCCTGTGTGCATGGATTTCCCAGGCAAGAATACTGAAGCGGGTTGCCATTTCCTTCTCCAGATCTTCCTTACCTAGGGATCGAACCTGCGTCTCCTGCATTGCAGGCAGATTCTTTTTACCACTGAGCCACTTGGAGCAACTAAACGGTGGAGGTTAAATAATGTGTTAAGAAGCAGAGTTGGAATTTGATCGCAGGTCCACCTACCTCCAAAGCCCATGTGGTACCAGTCCTACAGGATCAGAAACAAGTGGAATCGGAGAATCCAGAGATGCTCCTTTATAGCTCATCTCCATTTCCAGTTCTCTAGAGATCTCTCTCCCAATTCCTTAACCAGGTCAAGTCTCTCTCCCTCTCAGGTTCTCTCATGGTTCTCATGCCCCACCTGTAAAATCCCTATGACATGACACTTTACACACATTTGCTCAATAAATTCTCCCACTGTACTCAGGGGTTGGCAAACTGCAGGCACAATTCTGCTAATGATGGCAGACCTGAGTAGATGCCACACAGACCTCATGCTTGACAAAGCCAAAAAATAATATGGCCCTTTAATATTTGCAGCCTTTTGTGCTAGATTATGAGTTCCATTTGGTGGGGATTATCTGTTTTCACTGACCACTATAACCCTAGAGCCTAACAAGGTACTTGGCACAAAATAGGCTTCAGTAAATACTTTTGGAATTCAGTTTAGAGCTAATAGTGAAATGTGGATGCAACCCTAAAAACAGGAGGAATTGCAAGTATCAGTATGCCCAACTAGGAACGTTTCAGTGGCTGCTAACAGTACTGGCTTTTTACATTGAAATTCCTCCAATCAAAAATCTATTGACTGAAAATATATTCAGTAGAAATATTTTTTTTCTCATAAAATTTAGTGATATTCTTTTCATTTCCAACCACAAAAGGAGAACATTTAAATTTTTCCAGAATAGGCATCACATAACAGAGCTTGTTCATCACTGAATGGCCTAGAACAAAGAAAGCATCATATCCCTCATTCTCTTATTTGTCTCAGTGGATATGATCCTTAGGGTTTGCCATGTTGCCAAGAAAGCGCACCCACTCCATGAGTGATCAAAGGAAAAGGTACCTTACAGAGTTTGGCAAACATCTACTGTTTACCTACTGTTCACCAAAACAGGAAATACTTC